TGCACATGTGCATGTGTGTGTCTTCAATCTGTCCACTTAAGCATTCGCGTCCGGGACGCCCTTTCGTCGGCCATGATCTCGTGTGGGTAACTTGGACAGAAGTTGTCCAAACTATGTGATTTCATTTAGGTACGATAGCAATCAGCCATTCGCTCCTCTTCTCTCTCTCTCTCTCTCTCTCTCTCGCAAAACGTAGTCCATTGCAAAAAATGCGCTGGCAACCAACCTATTGGCTGATTCTCTCGTCTGTTTATATGCACAAAAATCCGTATGTTCATTTGCTTTGCTGACATACCCCTGATGGTCATGATGCCACCCATCCGTTCACCTCTTGATCCTACGCGTGCTCAGGACGGACAAGGGAAGGGATGAGGTGAAGAAGGAAGGTGAGGGGGGTGTGTGCATAACTTGCAGGTATACCATCTGGTATCGAGATCTGTTGTATATTGGTCTCTGGGTCAAGCCTAGCGTTCAGTCGATTCACTCAAGCCGCGAGGGGACTCGTAAAAAGTATTGCGTGATTCTACCCTCTACCAACCCGGCATTATTGGCTTTCTTTTGCTACAGCCAAGCCCAGTTTGGAATGATGTACCATCTCAACGGGGCGGAGGTTGTGCCCGACATGAAATTGGTTACCGCGTGTGCACACCTTCGACCTAAAGTTCAAACTCCCTCGTCCCCATCGCATACAGCTTACCACGCCTATACAGGATATGTGTGTTCGTGTATGCGTGTGTGTATCAAGTCGATTGGATACTTTATATCCGGTCAAGGCGACAGAAACTGGACACACACACACACACAGACACACACAGACGGACGGACGGACGGACAGAGGAGGTCATAGGAGGATGATCCATTTGACTGCTGAGATTCACGACAGGTCAAGTCTCATGGCGAGAGTATTTTCTTTAGGCGTCTCACCTTTCCGGACGGGGTCCCGGTGGTTGTCCGTTCGCATGACCTTATGACCTAATCAACCGGTCGGTCGGTCGGTCAGTCGGCATGCGCAGACAACAAAAGAGCACAACGATTGTCATGCGAGTCGTCAAGACGTGGTGATCGAATGAGCAGAGAGAGACTGTGACCAAATGCTACAGATGCGCGACGCAATGTCAGCCTTTGTCCTCCTTCAGGCCCCTCTCGTAGGCCCTCTTGCCACGTCGGCATCGGCAACCGCACACGTTTGGCTCATTCCATTTGCCCACTTATCCGCCCGGAAGGCTTTCGTGGTCGTCAATGCAAGGCAAGTGCGGCCATCCCTCAAGCCCATTTTCCAGTGGACCCCCAATTTTACGCATGACCGGCTGGTCGACGGGGCTAGCGCCATAATTGCTGCCGTAATGGGTCTCCAGATGAACCGGGTTCAAAGTTCACGGCCATCATTAGCCAAGCTTGCTCATACATTCCTCTGCACAAAAGCGCCAGATCAGCTGACACGCTCATATGACCAGAGGACAAAGGACGATTGTTGACATGCACGCTTGGGGAGAAAGGGGGATCGGATCCAACTGTGATTCTGATGCTGAGGTACCGGCGGCCGCTGGGGAAAGTATCGGACTTGTGACTGCAACAACGATCCATCCATCTAAGATGTATTCAGGTTGTTTGACCGTGTTTTCGCAACATGTTCATATTGGTAGGAAGACTTATTGGAACGTACCTAGTCCGGGGTCCATTGTCTGCATGATCATTTCCAATGTTGAACCGTGGACGTGGTACATTCCCAAACGTTTCGCCGGC